AAGTTAACATCCTCAAGATCACTGTGGAAAAAGAATGGGCTCAAGGTGATGAAAATTGACCAAGTTATAATCATTTTAAGTCACACATGAGAAATTGGGGGTTCATATGGAGGACTTGTAATCTTTCTTCATCATCAAGCTTCTTCCACATGAAAACTCCTTGAAACTTTTGAAGTGATTTATTGATAACCCTTTGAAGAGAAGGATGTCTTTTGAATCACTCAAAAATATCAAAAGATGAGAAAGATATGCTTCTTTGAAGTTCAAAAACCCTACCTCCTAGATCAAGAAAATGCTTTGAGGAACTTTGACAATTTTGAACAAACTTGTACCAACACAAATGCTTTGTAAATAGAAGTTGTTGAGGATGAAAATGAGAACTCATAGCCACCAAAACCACTTCCATATCTTGATAATTGAGAGAAATATGCACTTGTGACCAATGGGAACAAAGTCTTGTCCAAGCATGACAACTTCTTCAATCAACCCCCTTGTACCTTTGAATCAAATTTGATAACCTTGAAATGTGGTGAACCAAAATAACCTTGCCATGCCATTTATTCCAAAACAAATCCAATGGTGAGGTTTGAACTTCTCCAGCTTTATTGACTAGGACATGAAAATAAACTCATGAACCCATGGAGCAACTTGCTAAATCTCATTGCCTTTACCTACATTAGTAACAAGCAAGACAAACCAACATTGCATTTTATTAATTAAAAAGGAAAACTCCAAAAAAATATTCATGACCACAAAAGGAAACAAGTCAAGGTGCTTGGTGATTCCTCAAAGAGCAAAGCTAAAGGTAAGGAGGAGAATCAAGAACTTGGATGTGATCTTGTTGTGATTGAATCAATATGGTATGATGAAGGGATTTTAGGGGCAAAAATTGGAGTACAACAACTGGTTTGCTCAAGAAATTTATTGACTGAATTATGACAACTATAACTACATTTTCGTATAGGTTTAACATAAATGGGAAGTATATTGATAGGATGGAGGCTAGGAGAGGCATCAGATAAGGGGATCTCTTATCTCCTCTTATGTTTGTCATCACCATGGAATATCTGAATAGGCTATTGTTTCAAATGCAGAAGAATCCCAATTTCAATCATCACTCAAAATATGAGAGGCTGCAGCTAACTAATCTCAAATTTGCTGATGACCTTCTCCTATTTGCTAGAGGTGATCAAGGGTCTGTTGAGCTGCTTCAACAAACTCTGAATGTGTTCCTTGAGTCTACAAGGATGAAAATGAATCCCTCTAAAAGTAGGATTTATGATGACCTTCTCCTGTTTGCTAAAGGTGATAAAGGGTCCATTGAGCTACTTCAACAAACTCTGAATGGCGTCCTTGAGTCTAAATATTTGAAAATGAATCCCTCTAAAAGTAGGATTTATTTTGGTGGTATGCCTGATGATGTTAAGCATAATATCTGCAGATGACCTCTTATAGAGAAGGATCTGTTCCTTTTAGATACCTTGGTATACCTGTGACTAGCAAGAAGTTGTCTGTGATACATTATGTGCCTCTTGTGGATAAACTCTTGAGTAGGGTTACACATTAGAGTGCCTGCTTATTGAGCTATATAGGTAGATTGCAGCTGATAAAAAGTGTGCTCTATGTCATAACTACGTATTTAATGCAATGTTTCATGTTCCCTAAATCTGTGCTGAAAAAAATTAATGTTATTTGTAGGACTTTTCTTTGGACAGGTGGTAGCATTATTAGTAGAAAGAGCCCTATAGCTTGGGAGAAAGTTTGAAAACCTAAAACTAAAGGTGGCTTCAACATCATGGATATGGAGATTTAGAACAAGATGTTTATGCTCAAATTGCTTTGGAATATATGTGTCAAGTCTGACAATATGTGGGTTCAATGGATCCACGTCTATTATCCATGATGATGTGATGAGCAGATCTGTGAAACAAGCTGACTCTGAAATATTCAAAGCAATTCTGCAATAAAGGGAGAATATTGGTGTGGTGCAGGCTCTGTGGGATAGTATGTTGCAGGCTGAGAAGTTTGATAGCAGGAAAGTTTACCAGGGTATGCTTCCAAATATCTCTATTGTTAATTGGTGTAATTTGATTATGCATAATAAAGCCAGGCATGGGGCGATTATGACTCTTTGGATGATCTGTCATGGGAACTTAATGACTAAATCGAGAATTTACAGATTTGAAATGGTTGATAATCCTCAATGTGTGTTTTGTATTAAAGAAGAAACCATTGGCCATTTATTTTTTGGTTGTCTGAAGTTGAATCATATTTGGAGTGGTTTCCTCAAGTGGCTTCGAATTCAACATGCTCCTGGTGAATGAGATGAGGAGTTGAAATGGGTTTTACTGTATTATCGTGGCAAAAGTTGGAAAGGTGCCCTAATGAGACTGGCCTTGGCTGAAACTCTATGAGATTTGGCTTTTATGTAATGATATATGCTTCTGTCACAATAGGGATAGTAGGAATATTATGGAGTACATTATTAATGTAATTGTGTATAGAAGGTGGACTAGTCTTAAGCTTAGACCACACATAGCCAATTTGATGTTATCTTAAGTTGTTGTTTTGTAACTTTATGGACTGGATCCTAGAGATTGTCTTGTATTGTGTGTTTTTGAATTAAAATGTTATTTCAAAGTAAGTAGCAACATTGGACAAGTTACAAACTAATATTCAAACCAATTTATTCATCATTTGTTACATTAATATCGAATACTAATAAGCATAACTAGGAGTGTTCAAATTCAAACTCGTCCAAATAAAAAATCGAAAACCGATTCAAAAAACCAAAAACCGCAAAAAATTAAAATTTATTGGATGTGTTTGAATGTCATTTTATGAAAACCGATCGGCTCGGATCGGATTTCAGATTAATTTTTCAAAACCAATCCAAACCAAACCGAACCGCATACATATATTTTTATACTTATTTACTTTTTATTAACATGATATGTTACATGAATTTATTATTAGATGATAATAATTTTTTTAATAATAGTTATTAACTTGGTATAATCTCTTTATTTTTATTATTTCAATCATAACCGACCTCTCTCATTTTATAATATTAACTTTTAATATACTGTATATTATATATTATATTAAATTATGATTTATTAGTAGTTTTATAATATTAATAAAAATATAGTGTATAATTTGAATATCCAAAACCCGATCCAAATTAAACCGCATAAAATTGAATCGGATCAGATTAGATTTTTTTAATATATCATCCAAAACCGAACCGCGAGTAAATTTATCTTTAGATTGGATAATATTTTTGCCTTAAAACCGATCTAAACCAAACGCGAACACCCCTAAACACAACACATGACTTCTCACATACATATCTCGACTCTGCACTCTTTTTTCATATGTTGCCTCTTTCTTCATTAAATCACTCACCTTCAGTTTCTCAATTTTAACTAATTAGCTTCTCCAACAAAAAAGCATGGTCAGCAGAGATAGTTTTTGTTCTGAACTCTCAACTCAGCCAAAGAAAATCTGCACTATGACTAGCCACTTGTTAGGAACTCATACACATATCACCTTCAGTTTCTCAATTTTAACTAATTAGCTTCTCCAACAAAAAAGCATGGTCAGCAGAGATAGTTTTTGTTCTGAACTCTCAACTCAGCCAAAGAAAATCTGCACTATGACTAGTCACTGTTAGGAACTCATACACATATCACCTTCAGTTTCTCAATTTTAACTAATTAGCTTCTCCAACAAAAAAGCATGGTCAGCAGAGATAGTTTTTGTTCTGAACTCTCAACTCAGCCAAAGAAAATCTGCACTATGACTAGCCACTGTTAGGAACTCATACACATATCACCTTCAGTTTCTCAATTTTAACTAATTAGCTTCTCCAACAAAAAAGCATGGTCAGCAGAGATAGTTTTTGTTCTGAACTCTCAACTCAGCCAAAGAAAATCTGCACTATGACTAGCCACTGTTAGGAACTCATAAACATATGGTTGATACAATTTCATGATATGGCCATAAACATATACCACATACAATACTAACACAATTACATCAATATTTAAAATTGATAGGATTCAACTCAATTACAAAACATCTTATAAGATCAACAAAAAATTAATACTATAGCAGTAAGCATGAAAAACTTTAGGCAAACAAATTGCAGATTTGTAATTGATTAAGGTAATTAAATGGTTAATTAACTATGGTAGTTAACATGTACATGTGGAAAATACATGTTACTATGTCCAGTTTCCTTGAACTTCACATTCAAATACTCCTACATGAACAAGAAACAGAATTTAATAAATTGAAAAACAATTGAAAGAAAAATTGAATGCAAATGGATAGATAAAGAATGAACCTGTATGGATTCCCAAATGGCGTAACCGTATGGATGAATGACCATTGTGCGCAAACTGTACCATAATCGGCTAGTTCAGCGTGAGCCATGATATCGAGATACCAGAAATTGAAGTCTTGTGACCTAGGCATGCAAGTTTATTTAATCAAACTGCATTGGTAATTCTGGAATGTACCTGAGGGGATCAGCTGAAGGTTATCCATGCACCAAACCAGTTCACCAATGTTATTATAATTGGCATATAAATTTCAAATCTAACTTTTTATGAATACACCACTAATAAAGATAATTGACAATTTGGAAGTTAGTTCCAAGATAGCCATCATCATTTTATTGAAGTGCCCCCATTCTGTCCAACAAAATCAGCAATAGCACAAAAATTTTAGAATAAGCGCTTACTATGATAAATGTTTTTAGAAGTTATTTCTATAAAATAAGATTAAACTATTTTTGTATAAACTCCAAGTTATTTTCAAAAACTACCTTGGACTTGGAGAGCTTATGAAAATAAGCTGAAAACATCTTATCAAATAAGTTGATCCCAAATATCCTTTGCAGTAACAGCCTCTAACTTGTCAAAACCTGGCATAAAGAGAGTAACCGATTTTCTTTTGACATCAAACTTAACTGATGATGTGATATTACTGGATTAGCTTGATAGTGAAGTAAGAAGATGCCTAGCATCTTGATTCGCAGTGTCCAAATAAACTCTGTCCCAGCCTATTGGGTTAATCATTAACGGACTTGAGATAAAAGCAGAAGGCAAAGGAGAAATATCTTTCTTTGCTCTTTCGTATGATTCTAGTTTTGGTTGCTGTGAGGAGAGTCCAAAAGCACCTGAAACTTGAGCACCAGCCTGAATTGTACACCCCCAATAACGTAGTACAGGAGCAGCCAAAAGTGTAATGATTAAATAGTGTTTGATCTTACCTCGAGAAGTTGATCCAAAGTGTCCCATGTTTTTGAACTCATCCTCGCATTTAAATAAGATCTGCTGCTACTTATTCTCATGGCCTCATCCACAAGTCTGAGGAGTCGAGGAGCAGCCAATCTCCCAAGGCCAGTTTTCTCAGCCAATGTGCGAATATATTTCAAGTACAATCTACAAAATCAAAGAATCAAAATTGAAGTAAATTCTGAGGATGTGCATGTCTTTGAGATAGAAAGTAGGCATTCGAAAACCTTGCCTTACTGCATCCACCCATGATTCGCAAGGTTTCCTCGCTGCTGACACCATCATATATTTCTATGTCAAATTTGTCCCTGAATAACCTTGAGAGAATTCAGTTACATTCTGAAACCATAAAGCACCGCCCTGCAATATGTAGCATGTTTAAATCATTCAGCAACAATGGGTGTTGTGTTAATATGGTGCAAATATCTTTAATACTTAAAACTCAACAATACTGAAATCCTCTTGGAGTATACATTCTTTTAATATGTCCTGAAAGAACAATATAATTATCATGGATGGAGGAAAAAATTCCGAAACTGACTTGTTTCAAGACTTCTGCTTCTGATCGATATGGAGACCAGTCCAGTAACAAAGACATGTTAGACCTAAAATGCTCTGGGTGATTTAGTTTTTCCAAGTATCCAGTTGATGTATCACACTTACAAGTTACCTGAAATTAACAACATCATCTAGTTGTAAAAGAAAATACTAGAGTAGAGCCTTCATTGTTTAAAAGGGTTATAATAATAATGAGAGTACTAGCAACACTTCACAACATCATGATGAATAACATAACAGGAAAAATACTCAGAATAAGGCTCAGTAATATCCACCATTATGCCAAGTTGACTACCTAACTTACAAGTACTCTATATTGTCCACTCCTACATACAAGTCTACTAAGGATCAAACGAATAGAAAACTAAAGAGTAAATACAATTACCTGATCCTAAAGTAGTCCTTTCTTGAAAAATTTGTTTAGTAATTAAGAAATATTTCAATAGAAACAACAGCCTTTTTAAAAAATATTCCCCAATCCCCCCTGATGTTTTATAAGATATCAACTTAACCTTAAATGAAATGTTACTCTTATCAATCATCAGTAAAATAAAACATAATTCAAATCTGTAAAGGCATTAATCCATTATAAAAAAACTTCAAAGTGATTATATGATATTTGATAACTCTTCAAGGTTTTTAGTGTTTTTTGAGTCTATTTATTTTAGTTATTGTATAATTTAGCTAATTTTAGGAGTTATTTAAAAAATTTGTAGTTTTGAAGCTCTTTAATTAATGTTGAATATGAAAGATGATTATGTGTTCTTAGAAATCAATGTTCTTAATGTTTTGGCCCATAACTATTAGCCTAAGAAAACATTAATTTAAATTGGGTAAAAGGGATTTTGAGTCGAAGAATTGTCCTTAATCTTTTTCATTTGATTTGAATGTAATGTTAAACAGACTTAATTGTGTTGATAGAAAAGTCTAGAATCGTGATACCGCAGAGGATAGGATTCCGAATCCTAGTTGCTCATTATAATTGTTAATTCAATGTTTCACGGTTTACTTTTGGTTACTTAAATTATTCCAGCAGGTTACTTTTCACCTTAGAAAACTAACTTTTTTGCACAATAAATTAAAACACAATCCTTATAGAGACAATCTTTCTTATCACTTTTACCAAGTATGGTTTTCCATGTAACAACTTTGGCAAACAAAATCAGCACAGTGAAGAAAACTAGTATTTCAATTAATGCACTATATAGAATTGAAGTAGTAAAAATGAGAAATATTACTCACCATGGGCACTACAATTCTGCCAAGCTGTGCTCGCGTCAAGAATGAGTGAGATAGAAGTCCAATGCTTTTAGTACATACCCTGATCAACACAGTCAAGACAGACAACCGGTTTTTTTAAAGAAAAAGACTATTTGCATGTCAATCTACAAATTAGGTAGCCACGTTATGTCAATGTAGTAGGAAACACAATGCATCAACAAAATTTCACATAGAGGAACCTGAATAATAAGAAAAAAATCTTCATAATACTCTGACCCACTCAATATAAATAACATAAACAACGATTCTAAATAAAAAACTACTGTAAAGCTTTGAAATCCATTTAAGAATACATGTAATCTTTGTGCAGGTTCCGGACAAAAGACTTGTTTGCAAATCTCTATCACGGCCTCTGTAACGGACACCATCTGCCAAGAAATATAAGAAAACAAAACTTCATAACTATAATCTCAAATCAAGGTTTAGGGGAAAATTTAGATTAGCTAACATTATCAAGAAGCATACATCAAACTTGAGTTATAACTAGGCGTAAAAGTAATATATAGTCTTCATGGAATCATCATCATCTTTACATCAAACTTAATTAACAATTTAACACTATTTCAAGAAGACTCTTGATGGAATCAGTAAAGATAATGGAGCAAATATGATGTATTATTTAATTAACAACCTGAACTGAATGAACCCCTCATTTTGTCAAACATGTCACACACGAGTTGCAAAACGGTAGTAACGCTACCAATTCACACACCACAAATGATCATCAATCAAAAGTACCAGCTTTACAACAACTCAGCATCATGAAGTGAAAGAATTTAAGCAAAAAGAATCAAGAGATACGGTTGAGGCGTTTTATCGAACACCTTGCGGGCAAGACCAAAGTTGTATTTTTCTGCATTTTTAATCGGTTAACATTTCTCCGTTTAGCTTCATAATGTTTGTATGCAAATGTTAACTTAATTTAGAATCAATTCTGAAACAAAAAAACAGAGAAACCAATTGATACCATAATCAACATGAAACCGTGAAGCTTACCGTAAAAATGCACCAAACCATAAGCATTCTGAACCGAAGAAGTTCTGAACCAAAACCGAAACGGGACTGAATCGATGCAGTGAGATTACGAATCGCGTTTGGGTTTGCGAAGAAGTTGTCCGGCAACAAAATCGCGTTTGGGAAAAAGCACTTTCGCGTTAGAGGTCTTCCATGAGAATCGCGTTAGAAAAAAGTGCGTTTGGAGAAGCGCTTATGTGGGAAGTTCTCCGCGTTTTGCCATTTTCATATGTTTTCACGATGGCTTTTTGGTTCTTTCGAGTAGTGTTTCACTGCAACTTATTTCCTCTTATGTTTCATGTTATTGCTTCTATCCCTTTTTTTTTTTTAATAAAATAAATAATAATAATAATAATAATAATAATAATAATAATAATAATAATAATAATAAAAATAATAATAATAATAAAAATGATAATAATAATAATAGAAAACTATTAATAATAATAATAATAATAATAATAAATATTAATAATAATAATAATAATAATAATATTAATATTAATAATAATAATAATAATAATATTAATAATAATAATAATAATAATAATATTAATAAATAATAATAATAATAATAATATTAATAATAATAATAATAAAATAAATAATATTAATAATAATAATAATAATAAAATAAATAATATTAATAATAATAATAACGATAATAATAATAATAATAATAATAATAATAAATAATAATAATAATAAATAATAAAAATAATAATAAAATAAATAATAATAATAAATATTAATATGATAATAATAAATATTAATAATAATAATAATAATAAATAAAAATAATAATAATAATAATAATAATAATAATAATAATAATAAATAATAAATAATAATAATAAATAAAAATAATAATAATAATAATAATAATAATAATAATAAATAATAATAATAAATAATAATAATAATAATAATAATAATAATAATAATAATAATAATAATAATAATAATAATAATAATAATAATAATAATAATAATAATAATAATAATAATAATAATAATAATAATAATAATAATAATAATAATAATAATAATAATAATAATAATAATAATAATAATAATAATAATAATAATAATAATAATAATAATAATAATAATAATAATAATAATAATAATAATAAAAATAAAAATAAAAATGATAATAATAGAAATGATGATGATGATGATGATGCAAGATAAGTAAAGTTAAGTAAACAAAACTAATATAAAAAACTAATATAAAAAGAATTAGTGATATTTTTGTTGTCTGTAGGTAAAACATAGCAACTGAATGTGCCCTAAGGGTAACTTTTTGAAGTGTTAGGAGTGGTGTTGTAGGGAGTCCTCTGGTTGGTGACTAGAATAGTGGGTCAGATTTGATTAATACTTGTCCTTTTTTGAAGAGTGCTTTATAATTAAGTTGATGGGTGAATTTATGAGTAATAAAAGAATTTAATTTATTTGAAAATAATTTGAAATGATAATTAAATTGTTGAACTAAATTATGAATTAAATGAGTCATATATAAATAAAAAATTAAATTTATTAATTAAATGAGTTGAATTTAAACTATATATAATTCACTTTGTTAAATTTATGAGTTAACTAGATTATATATAAAAATGATTATATTGTATTTAATAGTAAGTTCAAAGATTTACTCTAAATCTTAGTCCGATATTTTTTTAATCTAACGATTTTAATTGATAATTTATATTCTCAAGTTAACATAATATTTCATAAATTTATTATACAAATGAAATTAACATCATATAAATAATATTTTTTTTAAAAATAATTTAAAAATCAATATATATTTTCTAATTTAAAAAATATTTTCAAGTGAGCACAATATTTTTAATTTAAAAAATATTAGTCCGATAGTTTTTAATCTAACAGTTTTAATGAATAATTTATATTATCAAATGAGCACAATATTTCATAAAATAATTATACAAATAAAATCAACATCATATAAAATATATTTTTTAAGAAAATAATTTAAACATCAATATATATTTTCTAATTTAAAAAATAATTTCTAAATTTCTTTAATTTTTAGAAAATCAAATATATCTTCTAAATTTCTTTTAAATGAAGTTGTGGATTTTTGAAACAAATTTAAACTTTACTAGAGTAGTTTTTAAATTAGACTTCAAATGTATCTCTTGAAAGATGTGATGTTTCTCGATTAATAGACTTTTGAAACAAAATTAAATTTAAATCTAATAACTTTTATTTTATTTCAATATTTTCTTTTTTAAAAATATTAATTTGAAATATCAAATATATATAAAAAATAGACTTTGAAAAATGGCTTTTAAGTATGTGAAGCAAACGAGATGAACCTAATGAATTAAATTGAGTTGTTCATGAACTTATAACTAATCGAGTTTGAGTTTAAAAAAAATTTATGTCAAACTCGAACTGAAATTTAAGCTGAACCAATTCTTAACGAGTCGAGTCGAGATTAGACAAGTTCGACTCGACTCGATTCATTTTCAATCCAAGGTAAAGTACAAGATGCTTTGGACAAAGTGCACAACACATTTTCTAATTTCATGCAATCACTTCAATTTAGAGTTAAAAAGGAGTCCAACGTCAGTTGTTTACAGTGCACTAGTCGTGCACAGGTTCCATGAAAATGGTGAAGAAAAATGAACCAAGCTTGAAAAGAGTAAAGGGTAACTTGCAAAGAGATAAAGTTATTATGCATTAATTGGTTACAAGTTGGATACAATATTCAATATATACATCCTTTAATAAAAACAAATTAATGTAATTAATTATACACGTGTATGGATAAGATTAGCTCAATAATAATAGCATGCTGACACCCCTTCAAATTGGACAATGTATACTATAAAGTTTTAACTTGGATAAAATGGGAGATAAATTCGGTGAATGCAATGACTTTGTGAAAATATTTGTTAGCTGAGTCGTGGTCAAAACAGGTAGCAGGTGAATCAGCTTGGAGTGGAGTTTTTCACAAACAACATGACAATCAAGTTTGATGTGTTTGCTCCACTCATACAAAGTTGGATTATGAGCCAGGTAAATAGAGGATTTATTATCACAAAACACAGATGCATGTTAAGGGAAGGTGATCTGGAAATCGTGAAAAAGATATTGTAACCATTGCAGCTCACAAGTCAGCGATGTTAAGGCCCTATATTCAGCTTCAGTTAAAAACTTGGACACGATATATTGTTTCTTGGACTTCCAGTAAAGTAGAGACGGACTAAGGATAACACAATAACCAATGACATACTTTCTAGTATCTGGACATCGAGCCGAATCCGAGTCAGCAAAAGCATATAGTTTCAGATCCCTAGAAGCTGGGAACAACAAGTCTTTAGCAGGTACAAATTTGAGATACCTAAGGATTCTAGTGACAACTTGATAATGCGGTAATAAAGGACATGATACAATTGACTTAAGTGTTATACAACATAAGAAATATCAGGTAGATAAATTGTCAAGTAGATTAACTTGCCAATCAATCGTCTATAACATGATGGATCTTCTAATGGCTGACCATCATTAGTTGGAAGTTTTGTGATGTGATCAAAAGGGACAACAGAAGGCTTTGAAGCAAGTAAACCACTATCTTCTAAAAGATTAATTGTGTACTTCTTTTGTTTGAAAAATATACTTACTCTGGACCTAGAAATCTCAAAGCCAAGGAAGAATCTTAATTGACAAAGATTCTTAATCTTAAATTTGTGATCCAATAGATGCTGACAAAGTGAATTACATCCATACAATCACCTGCTAGTACAATGTCGACCATATAAACCAACAAGGTAGATGAGGGGTGCCCAATACCTTCCCTTCGTCTAGAACCGAGTCAACAACCTAGAATTTCTAACTTTTTAGGGTTAACCTTTATATTCCCTTACTTAGGATAAAAATTAAGGGTGGCAACTCTCAAATTTAAAACCAATTACAACAGCTGGCGACTCTGTTGGGGACTCAACCCTAGGTTTAGAAGCCTTTTCTTTAGGTTTTAGGGTTTTTCTTATTTTTTGGTTTTTCTTTATTTTTATTTATTTATCATATTCATTTATTTATTGTTATTTTTTTATCATATTATTATATCTATGATGAGATTTAAATTTTGCAAAAATATTCTCAAAAACCCTTAGAAAGAAGGTTCGTCTATTAGCCAAAGGGATACATCGGCCCTATAAGTTTATGTGACGACTTCGCCTAGAGTCGGTGGAATTTCGTGAAAGGAATACCTCTCAAGAGACATCCTCTTAGGAAGTAGGATTTTGGAATGACACCTATGACTCTTTATACAACCCTTAAACTAAAATCTCATAATGAGACCTTTCATGACCTAGAGACGAAAGTTTCGGTCTGCAAAGAAGCTCCACTTAAGGGAGGCCCTTGTGCCTTTTCCTCTAGTGTTATTCATGATACCCTTAAGGAACCCACCTTATGGGGAAGGTAGAATATCCGTAGGCCAAAACTAGAAGACTACCTTCTAAGGATACTGTGATACGGTGGGAGAACTGACTTGGGTTTTGCGTTTGTTTTCGCAAATGTTTCGGTTGAGCAAGAGTCGCCACCGACTTTTTATTTTATCCTAAGGAGAGGTTAAAAAGCACAGAAAAAACCTTTGAGATGTTTTCTTGGGTTCGGGGGGTAGATTATAGAAAGGGAAGGTATTAGCACCCTTTCTATCCATGGTTATCCATGGGCTCTTAGTTACTTGCTTAGATCACTTGCCTTGTGTTTTCAATTGTTTGAAATGGTGCTTTGTGTGTGGGTTTGAAAATGTTTTGAAAAGAGGCCATTTGTTGTGGCAACCTTTGTAATGATCCATGTTTAAATGTATACAAAGGTGTACTTATCTTTTGAAAAGTTTTCAATGTTTTTGAAAGTTGTTTTGAAAGTGTATTGTGGAGTGTGGTTTGAAAAGTAGGCAAGTGTGTTTTACAAGTTGATCAAGTAACTAAGAGTTTTGTCTACCCCTAAATTTACTCAAAGGTTTTTCCTATGTTTTA